GTAGGTCTAGACGCCTTATTGAATTGTTATATCTATATATATGTGTGTTATAGAATTTGAATGAGGATAGACAAAATATCCAAGATTTAAGCAGAAACCTATTTTGATCTATGTATCCCCCCTATATTTATTTTCTCTTTCTGTTTTTGATTCGGTTTCATTTGATGCTGTCATATTTTTTATACTCACTATTCTTAGGTTCTTTTTATGACGAAGTATGCCATGAAAAATACATAATAAATTACAGTAATTTCCAACAAAAGTTATTAATGATTAAAAATGAATAACTAAAACGGGCGATCTCCACTTCTATTGGAATTAAATATCATCATTAGTTGCATTATGCAAGAAAGCTTAATCATATCACAGCCTCTATTTACTCGAGATGGGTATCTGCTTGACTCTTGTGGTATGATTTTTTTTAATAGATCTATTTTCTTGTTCTATTACAGTAACTCAATAAGAGTTGGAAACATATGCCATATAGCCTCTTCCTAAGTAAATCTTCACATAGTTTTAAAAATTATGGGAAATACTCTCAAACTAAAAAATTATGGGAAATACTCTCAAACTAAAAGAACATGGTGTGTCAACTGGATTAAAACTTTGATACTCTCTGAAATGACTATAGTTTATAGGAACATTATATACTGTAAATTATTCAATTAAAACTGGTGTAACACTAGATTCAATAGTATCTAAATTTAGTCAAATTTATATACAATGATTAGCCTAAAAAAAGTTGTCGCTGGAGTGTATTTACATTTGTGATTTTCTTTTACTGTAATCATTCAAATCAATAGATACAAATTATAGACGATTGTTTTAAACACATGATATAATATAATATAAAAGGAAATGTTCTTCACACTTTTCATTATTGACCACGTGAAAATGGCCCGATACGAAAAAGGGTTTGGGCAGTTATGTGGATGTAATGAGCATGAAGGTTGACTCTTGTTGCTCAATAAAAATGAAAAGGTTGACTCTCTCTCGTGGGTTTGCTTTTACAATTTTGGTCTCACTTCAGATTATGTAACTGCTGAAATGATCGTATTCGTTTATTAATCAATATTAATCTTTATTTCGTTTTGTTTTTGTTTTAGAATCTAATGAAACATATCATGAAACAATAAACCGATCAAAGTTTCTAACCTGTGTTAGCTGGTGACCCTGAAAAAACAAACAAAAACCCGTGTTAGCTTTTATCAATGAATCTGTGTCTCTTTCTATTATAGTTTTATTCAATAAATAAGTTCATTGTAGCAGTGACATTGACTCATGGTACCGAAATTTAATTAGCGTAAACTATTTTATGACCTATCACCTATGTATGAATTGTGTATGCATGTAAGAAATTTCAGTGTGTTTTAAACAGAATTGTTTCGACCGTTGCAAATTAAGTGTATTATAATCTTTTCATATAAATATAAATTATTGAAGTTCCTTGTATGATATTCTTTTTATAAAAAAGTCTTCAAGCAAGACTCTACAGTACATAGGGTTGGAGGCTTGGGTGAGCCCACAATAATTCAACCGGAATATAAATTATTGTTTGCGTATACAGCGAGAGTCGTCACCAGATTTTTAAATTATTCAACTCAATTATTTACCTAGAAATCGTCCATTAAATCATTTCGCAAAACGACATTAATCTAACAATAGTTTTTCTTGGTGAGTGAAACTTATAATATTGAAACAAATCAACAAGTTGGCAAACCAGGAAAAAACAAACAAATGTCAATAAATCAACAAAAGAAAAAGGAGCTCATCATATATACTACATTACTACTGTTATTTAATACTCCCTAATTAAGAGTCTTTAAATGAGTGAAGCTTTCAACGCTTGCGGTCGTCCTTTTCATATTTAACGCACGCGTAGTTGCTTACATTACACGTATAGTTCTTACATCTATACGTATGTGTTCGAGTGTGTGTGGTCACACTTTCAAAAGATACACCTTTCTTTTTCACGAAATGCACATTTTAATTCTAACCAGATATATTAATATAGAATATTAGTAATATTAAAAGTTTGTGTTTTCTTTCAGTAATCCGATTAAACCAAAATCAAGTTGAGCGAGTATTGAATTTTATAGATACGTTCACTCACTATCAAGTCACGTATGACTCTTTTAACTCTATAGATTCAACCGGCGATTTGGTTGTTGAAGAAAAAAACATACTATTGTTATGTACTTATTGTATACATTTTCATTCTAAAATAGAAAAATTTGACTTCTCTGTATAGTTCCAAAAGATGAAGTGTAACGGCCTACCAAGCTAATATACAAACATATTTAATACGTTATTAACTACCTAGTTGACTTATTGAAAGAAAAATTACCTTGTTGACTTCAAATGCTACATCCGGAACAACAAATTTATTAGTACTTTAACATCAAACCTAAAAAAAATTTATTAGCACTGTATAACGAATCATTTATTCTTGCTGTGAAAGCTATTTATTTTTAGATTTTTTTTTTTAAAAAAGCTGTGTAACTATTATGTACAATTTAGTATAACAAGGTATAAAATCGATCAAATGACATTATCAACTTCATCTATAAAATTTTGATAATTTTTGTTTCTTAATTCATTATATTTTATTTCGAGGTGCGGCCAAAAAGGCAAAGTATCAGGACTTGGTTGGATTAGTTTGGTTTGAACATGACAAAGACCCATTCGTTGGAGCCGTAAACACGGGCATTATAGGACTCAATTCCACACCTAGTTGGCAATTGGCCACAGACAGACGTCATTTTTTTTATACCTTATATGATATATATGAAGAAAACATCGTTTTATCAATTTTCTTCGCATTATCTTTTATTCATGTGACGATAATGTTTACGATATAAAATAATTAGCCACTTATTAGGATATATAAGTGAGCTTGTTTTATTATGGGCAACAAGTGTCAAGTGAGCTTGGTTTAAGATGGAATCGCAGTTGTTTTTTTATTTACCAATACAGGAATCCTCCCTCCCAGGCTTTGTTTATCTATTGTTTAAGATTTCTTTTTTATGAAAAATGATCTGAGGCGAAATGGTAAATATATTTCTTAAACTTACAATCACTATACCTAATAAAAACGAAACACAACGATGACTATTAACTTTTTTTTTTTGTCTTTAATTACCTCAAAGACTGTCAATACCATGAATCTTGAACTAGAGCCAACAATCCTTTTATAAATTGTTGATCGCATTTCTTTGACAACTACAAGCAAAGAAATAGGACAGCATATGCTGGAGGAATTTAATTGTGGACCAAATAGGTAAAATGAAAGAGATTAAAGTTGAATTGAAAGCTCAAGTTGACGAGATTGAAATAAGGGTACCCATCCTTATTGGTGTCAAGTCGAACAAATATTACTAACATCTCATATTTTTCTTTTATTTTGTTGCTTTTACCAACATCTACTAATTTTCTAGAATACGATGAATAAGACCAAAATATACAATAATAATGTTTTTTTTGGGTCAATTTTACAATAATAATGTTGAATATTTTCTATTATTGATTTTTATTTATCAACTGAGATAAGCATTGTTCGGACACTGTTTTTTTTTGTTTTTTTTTTTGCATGGGTCTCATATCTTTTGACATTATTATGTTTTTATGATAATTGATTAAGAGATTTTGAGTTTGTGTCTGTACATCTTTCAGATGTCGATCAAACTGAAAACACGATGTCATATAGATAGTTTACAATAAAAGTTCACAAAATGCCTATGAAGACCACGAAATTCTTTCCGCGAGCTGACTGAAAACTAAAATTCATCAATTTACTGAAAAACGTAGAGACAACATAACCAAATAAAAAGGTCATTGCCCTTTTTATTAAGAAACAAATCAACAAAACAAAATAAAGCTCAATAAATGACACAAAATTTGGCGTTTTCAATGAATAAAACCACAAATGGCTTTTAATACAAAAACTTGTGGATTTATAAAATAAAAGTGCCGAATGACATTTAACATAAAAAAGCTTAAATGAAAGTAACACAATAAAACCATGGCCAATTTTTAACTTTCTATTATTGTAAATCCACTAAAATTAATTTTTGCCCGGATCACGAAAATCTTTTACTAATTTCTTTTTGGTTTTAAAATCTCTTGCCAGCTAATTTGGGTAAATAAATGATGGTGAACTGATTTTATCTGAATCAAATAAGATTGAACTAAAGTTATAATTCTTTTTTAAAAGTAGTTCAATTCTTAGATATGTGAGAATTATATTCATGAAAAAGAGTAGATAGTATAACCTCGAAAGCATAACTCAATCAACTTAGACTAATAAATAAAATTAAATGAAGACCTGATATATAGTTTGAGAAAACAAAGAGAAGAAGAAGATATTCTCCGTTTTATAATAAATGTCAATTCTGATATATTTCATACAGATTAAGAAATTAATAAAATATATAAATATACTCCTATTAATATACTTTTATAGCATTTAATACAAATACTATTATTTTTAAATGAGGGATAAAACAGGAAATAAGAATAAAAAGTTACATTGAAAATGTAAAATAACACTCTTTTTAAAACAAAAAATGAAATCTAAAACGACAGAAACGGAGGCATTAATAAATAAACAGAAAATTGGATGATGGAAAACAAATTGACTGAAAATGGACGGAGAGCTTAAATAACGTGCCGTTATTAAGAGGGACTGTTATGATGGGGGCCACAGCACTTGTAATGGAATCTACATTTTCATGGATTTTTGAGTTTTTAAAAAGAGAAGTTTAATTTCGGAAGAAAAAGAAAAGAACTTTAATTAAACTAATCTAAAATCAATATTAAATCACTAACACAGCTCTGTTTCACGGCTAAATTCACAAATTACCACTTTGTCTAGATTCCGACATCTCCACCATCCTATAAATAGAGACAGACAGCTCTAAGATGAAGAACAGATTCATCATTAGCCTTTGAGATAGAAACAACATACAAAATAAAGAAACTACAATTTTAGTAGTATAAGTAGTAATTACAACAAATATTGAGAGCAGCAAAATGGAGAGAAAGCCTCTCGAAGTCGAGTCAACGGATGACCAGAAACCTTCATCCGCCGTTTACGGTGGCTCTGTTGCGGCGGTTGATTCGGTTGAGGAAAAAGTCGTTTATAGAGGCTGGAAAGTCATGCCCTTTATCATTGGTAACGCAAACTTTGATCATTTACCGTTTTTATGGAAAAAAAAGTTTTTGGGTCCTGGAAACTATTTTCTTTTTTGTTGGTTTCATGAAGTTAGGAATCAAAATCTATAGAAAACATCAGTCTTGCTCGAAGACTTGTTGGTTTGATTTTTTTATTTGTTAGATTCTCTGTGTTGTTGTCTTAGTCTTTGACTTAGTCAAACAGTAAATTAAGACAAATAGAGGGAGATCTTGAATTTGAGGAGGCTTTAGAATATAATTGATCAAGAAACACAGATTTCATATAATTGTTTGATTCTTGGTTTGGTTTCTGACACAATCAAATGCAAAGCCTGAAACTTTACCGCAACACATACAATCAGCTATGATAAAAATCTTTCATTTCTTCTGAGGTCAAAGTCTTATGATCTTGGGCTGTGTTGTTGTTATCCAGGAAATGAGACATTTGAGAAGCTAGGGATCATAGGAACACTATCAAACCTTCTGGTGTATTTAACTGCTGTCTTCAACATGAAGAGTATCACAGCTGCAACCATCATCAATGCCTTTAGTGGCACAATCAATTTCGGAACTTTCGTTGCTGCTTTCCTCTGCGACACTTACTTCGGTCGTTACAAGACTCTAACCGTCGCTGTCATCGCCTGTTTTCTTGTAAAGATCCATCCTTTATAATCTTTCTTCCTCAACAAGCATTTTTGGTTTCTGATAAGGTGAATTTGGGGTTTATTGCAGGGATCACTTGTGATACTGTTGACTGCTGCAGTGCCACAACTGCATCCAGCTCCATGTGGAACAGCGAGCTCGTGTACAGGGCCAAGTGGTGGCCAGATAGCGTTTCTTCTGATGGGTCTCGGGTTTCTTGTAGTGGGAGCAGGCGGGATCAGACCGTGTAATTTAGCATTCGGGGCTGATCAGTTTAACCCCAAAAGCGAGTCAGGGAAAAGAGGGATTGATAGTTTCTTCAATTGGTATTTCTTCACCTTCACTTTTGCGCAGATCTTGTCGCTGACACTAGTCGTCTATATCCAGTCTAACGTCAGCTGGACCATCGGTTTAACCATACCGGTCGTTCTAATGTTCTTGGCCTGCGTGATCTTCTTTGCCGGAGATAAGCTGTATGTGAAAATCAAGGCCTCGGGTAGTCCATTGGCCAGTATAGCTCAAGTTATCACGGTTGCAATTAAGAAACGTGGATTAAAGCCAGCGAAACAGCCTTGGCTTAACCTTTACAATTACTACCCACCAAACTACGCAAACTCCAAGCTCAAATACACCGACCAATTCAGGTATAACAAAAACACACACACCAATGTCTAGTTATTCTTACTCTGTTTTGGATGTTTTGTTTTGACTGAGAAAAGCTTTAATCTTTTGGCAGATTTCTTGATAAAGCGGCGATCTTGGCTCCGGAAGACAAGTTGGAGGCCGATGGTAAGCCTGCGGATCCATGGAAGCTCTGTACAATGCAACAAGTTGAAGAAGTCAAGTGCATAGTGAGAGTGCTTCCTATATGGTTTGCTTCATCAATCTACTACTTAACCATAACCCAACAAATGACTTACCCCGTCTTCCAAGCCCTCCAGAGCGATCGTCGCTTAGGCTCGGGAGGATTCGTGATTCCGGCAGCCACCTACGTGGTCTTCTTGATGACAGGAATGACGGTTTTCATCATTATCTACGACCGTGTCCTCGTGCCTACCTTAAGAAGAATAACCGGTCTAGACACAGGGATAACGCTCTTGCAGAGAATCGGAACCGGCATTTTCTTCGCCTTTGCAAGCTTAGTAGTCTCCGGTTTCGTGGAGGAACGGAGGAGAACTTTCGCGCTGACTAAACCAACACTCGGTATGGCGCCAAGAAAGGGAGAGATCTCTTCAATGTCAGCTATGTGGCTGATTCCACAGCTCACACTCGCGGGTATAGCCGAGGCATTTGGAGCGATTGGACAGATGGAGTTTTACTACAAGCAGTTTCCCGAGAACATGAGGAGCTTCGCGGGTTCGATCTTTTACGTGGGAGGAGGAGTTTCGAGCTATCTCGGTAGCTTCTTGATTGCAACGGTTCACAGGACGACGCAGAACTCGGCGGGTGGTAACTGGTTAGCAGAGGATTTGAACAAAGGAAGACTGGATTACTTCTATTTCATGATCGCTGGAATCTTGGCAGTTAATTTTGCTTACTTCTTGGTGATGTCAAGATGGTATAGGTACAAAGGAAGTGATGATGAAGCAACAACTTATGAAACCAATGGAGATGTCACCAAACAACAAGACAAGAACACTGTCTGATGATTATGGGTTTCTCATCTTCTGTAAGCTTCGAGACTTAGTTTTTGGTCAGCTTCCATCCCCTTACACTCTTTTGGATTTCTTGGAATAAGCTGTAGAGATATGAAGTAATGATATACTTGTTCTAGTTTTCTTTTTTCTTTTTCTTTCCCTGGTGATTATGTTAGATCACATCTCTTTCTGTCTATCATTGTGGAGAAAAGGGGACTATAACAACAGATGTATTGCAAAATAAAAAAAATTGTCTTGCATTTTGAGGATTCTGTTTCTATTTCTGTCATTCTTCATCATACAACAGAATTAACAAACCCACCAAAAATACTACTAACTTGAGTTTGATACTTATATGCATAATCTGTATCCAAGTTTCAAACAGAGAGATCTTCAAGGATATTGAGACGGTTCTTGGGCAGCACTCTCTCTACGATTCTATCAGACTGTGTAAGATTGTTGAATGGTTTCAATGTCCAGACCTTTTAGTCTCACGACAGATTCAACGTGGCCCTTGAGAGTGTGGAGCTCCCGCAACCTATCAAAGTGTAAGAGAGAATGAGACAAATAACAAAATTTTCCTGTTTTGTGTTCTCTCTATGACTTCACAGGATGGAAAAAAGAGTAAATAGTCTTTACCTAGCAATCTCAGCTCTTCTCTTAGCTTCTTCAGCCATTTGAGAAAGCTCGTTGAAATGGGTTCGCTCTGGGAACATCTTAGCATCTGGTGCTTGCAGTCCATGCAGCGTTCTCTGTGCGTGCGCCCATTGCAGCTCCCTTTGCTCTTTTCCGAAATCCTTCTGCCTCGTGAATGCAATCTATGCAACAGACGCAGAATGATTATAATCAGAGAATCACGAAAGGTATCCAATCCATATCCACAATCCATCATCAAATACAGATAAAGCAAATGGAACGAGGAGAAATAAAAAGAAATACTGCATGTTGCTTTTTTGATACATACCCTTTGTTCAATAACAAGATCCCAGGCTCTGCCGCTAAGGGCGTACCGAATCAAGAACTTGATGATATCAAGAGGAATGTAGAATACAATGTTATAGAGCCAAATGACCCCGGCCCATCCCCACCCGATCCCTTCAATCGCAGCAAAGCTCCAATTCGCATAGACTGCAATTAGAGTAGCCACCTGTTTGGAAGAAAATGGTTAAAAATATGGAACAGCGGTTTATAACTCTGACTTGAGTGTTGATCACAGATAGTGAAGTGCCACACTAACCAATTGAGCGATGATAAAGGCTATCAAGAGCCACGCCCCAGGACGTTCCACATAAGACCAACTCCGTGACCGGGTAACAAAGATAAGTGCCTGACTTATAATGCTGACTTGTAGGTATATTGCTGAGGCAAGCTTTCGGAAATCATCATGTGCTGTTTTCTCAAGGGTTGAAACTCCAAAAGTTCGCTGAAAATCAAAAAAGAAAGTCTGGTCAGTGGTCACTAAGATATAGAAAATAGGAATTTTATACTGGTTTACAACTATATCTAAAGCGAAAGTTGATAGTGCAGTAGAGTAACTCCGGAAACAACTGATGAGGTGTTAATGGGGCACATGATCCAAAATACAAAACAAGCAAGAGCACTGCTTTTTTTTTACTGAAGAGCAGAGAGAGAGAGAGAGTATACCGGGAAGAAGTCAGTTTTATACGCAGCCCAGAAAAATATAACAGTCATCATTGCCATGTAGGTTCCAAACACAACGCCCGTTGCAAAAATCTCGGACAGTTTCCAGCTATCTGGAAGAGGGGAAGGTTTCACCCTGTCTTTTGATATTGTCATAATTGTGCCTACAAAGTCAGTGTCACAAGAGTTGATCAACACAGAAAGACTCTTGAGAAGCGATATGAAACCAGCTAAAACTTTAGATAAGCTAAAATTCTAGACTAATGCAATTTTTCCATCAATCTTGGGTACAGTTTTCACAGTACTAGAGACTGATATATATATTAAAGAATGTAGAAATAACGAACGAACCATCGTTCAGGATGGCAATGATAAGAACCATGAAGGGTGGGAAGTCAAACTTCCATATGAGAGCCAGCAGCATGAAACCAAGCTGATATTGCATGGAGTGAAGGAAATCACAAAGAGTGTCATACACATGAAAATCAAGTTGTAACAGGAACCTTAGAAAAAAAAGAAGCTGGAAAAATCATATGCCAACTTACGACAATACGGATTGTGATGGAAACCGCATAGATCTGTCCAGAAAAACAGAGACCCAACACAAGTTAATTAGCTTACAAAACAAACGAACGAATTATGAGATGTTATATGTATGAGACATTACATAATTCCTCCATCAGTATACAGAGAAAGTTTAAGATGTGATGGAGATTGAGAGTAAATGCAACACTCACGGTATAATTTTTCATTCTCTGAAAGATAGCACGACTGGTCAAGACAGCGCTTATGATGACACTAAGACCAGGTTCAGTAAGAACAATATCCGAAGCACTACGAGCTGCGTCAGTTGCATCAGCAACTGCAATGCCAATATCGGCCTTTTTAAGAGCAGGCGCATCATTTACTCCATCGCCCGTCATTCCACATATATGCTTCCTTGCTTGTAATCGCTTCACTATCTCATATTTATGCTCTGCAAAACAATTTCATGACTAATTTGGTTAACAAGTCCGAGTTGAACTACACTGGACTGAAATTTTGGAAAAACAGAATCATGCAAATTTTACCAGGGAAGACGCCAGCAAAGCCATCAGCTTTTTCTATGAGATCATCAATGGGTAAGGCACCTATAGACTCATCCTTGTTCTGTCCAAGCAAAGCAGATGAAGGGTACATGTTGGTTCCCATCCCTAACCGGCGTCCGGTCTCTTTTCCGATAGCCAACTGATCTCCTATAAAATACCACAAGCCTTTAGAATGAACTTTTTATGAAAGGCAAAGAAATTGTCTCGGCACTGTCATGCTCTTCACCTGTGATCATTTTGACATTCACCCCAAGATTTAAAGCTCTTCTAATTGTCTCGGCACTGTCATGCCTAGGTGGGTCAAAAAGAGGCATGAGACCCACAAATTGCCAAGGGCCTCCAGCACTTTCCTTTGTACCTTCCGGAACTTCCTGCAGAAAGCCAAACGCTCTCAACCTTGAATCTCGTATCAACTTTACACCCAAATATCTCAAGAAAGTTGAGGAGCTCGTCACCAATTACCTGGTATGCCACAGCAAGAGATCGCAAACCCCGTTCAGCGAACTTATCTATTACAGTATGAACTCTTCGCTCAATCTCTGATTTATTGTGCGCGAGATTTAGGATCTGTGACATTGGCAACAAAAGTAACAATTGAGACTATGATCTACACCAAACAAAATGTGAAGAAGGGAATGCAACTGAAAAGCTTACTTGCTCAGGTGCACCTTTGCTGACCCTATGCATTTTACCATCACTATCAATATATGTCAGCGCTGTCCTCTTATCAGTGGGATTAAATGGAAGAAAGTGAATCTCTCGAACACCAGCTCGTGCCTACATAAATTAATATTGAGGAAGCGTTAGAAACTAGAAGTGTAGCACATTAATGAAAAGCATTTCTGTGGAAAAACCAGAGTTCACAAATAGACCTCTTTAGGGTCAGCAAGCATCCCAACTATAGCAGCATCTATGGCATCTTGGTTTTCAAGTCTGGAGGCTTGAGCTGCCATTAGGACAACAGTATCCGCATCCACTCCTTTCGTGAAAACCTATATACAATAAACTTGCGCTCATTCAGAAATGTCATCCTGGGAAGATTCATTTATCTGAGCAAGCCAAAGATACCTCGATGAGATTTTTGTCGACTGTAAGTTTATTCAGTGTTAAAGTTCCGGTCTTGTCACTGCAAAGCACATCCATGCCAGCCATTTCCTCAATAGCTGTCATCCTCTTGGTTATTGCTCCCTGCGAATATATATCAGAATATAATCATATAGCCATACAAACACAGAGAATCTTCAAAAGAAAATTTAACAAAACACTGGTTGCCAAGTCATTCAATATCAAGCAAGTTCAACTTCAACACCCGATGAATTAAAAAAAATCTCCAAGAATTGAGAAGACAAACATGAAATATAAAACGGAAATTCAAAACACATCTTATGTGCTAACCTGCTGAGATAATCTATGAGAGCCAATGGCCATGGTCACAGACAGAACAGTAGGCATGGCAATTGGGATACCACCAATGAGAAGCACAAGAAGGTTATCAATCCCGGGGCGATATGCTCGGTGTTGAATGGGATACATCACGACAATCTCAATTAACATCCCCACTGCAATAGAGCAGATGCAGAAATTCCCAATGGCAGTTAAGACCTGCACATTAAACAAACAGATAAAAATATTAGTATAATGTGAACCAACCTGAAAAACGAAACAGCAAGATACCATCAAAGATCTCAACAATGAGAATTTTCAAACGAGTAAGAAAACATGCCTGTTGAAAATGGCCAACTTGGTTGGTCGTGTCAACAAGATGAGCGGCCTTTCCAAAGAAGGTATGGACTCCCGTTGCAATAACAACTGCTTCAAGCTCTCCCTGTTTGCAAGTGGAGCCGGAATACACACCATCCCCTGGACCTTTGGTTACTGGGAGAGATTCACCAGTAAGAGAAGACTACAGAACAAAGGGTTCATAAAAGCTTCAGTACAAATTATGAATCTGGAAAGTAAGAAAAACTTAGCAGTATAATATCCAAACATCCAAAAGTGGCTAATCAGTTATCAGGTTCAAACCTGATCGATCTTAAGGGGATCACCCTCGAGAAGCCGAGCATCAGCAGGAACGATATCCCCAAGCTTGATGCTAATTATGTCACCCGGAACAAGAATTGCAGCATCCTGCTCACCCCACCTTCCATCTCGAAGAACCTTCATAAACGTTTTGAAAAGAGATGTGGATATACATTAAGCAGAAATGAGTAGCTAAGAACCAAATCGACATCTCTTAAGACTAGATAAGAGTATCTTGCGGGCAAAAACCTGATAAAAGAGGTAAGACATTGTAGACTCTGCGGTTGAAAACAAGTAGCAGTAAGCAAGAATATCAAACCTTTGCTTTCGGAGCAAGGCGTGCCATGAGAGCGGCGGCGGCATTTCCGGCGTTGTTCTCCTCG